ATTTCCTCTCCTGCCGAGAAACCATTAACAACAAAGTATAATTCTATCGGCCCCAGTCACGGAACAAGTCGCAAGTCGGCGGGCGAACAGACGGAACCGTTAAACCAGCGAAGATCGCCAAAAAACGGTCAAAGTGCTGCACCCCACTAGTGTCCAGCAAGATTAGAAGCACGAGGAACATAGTAAAATATTACTGCTTCACCCCAGCGGTTAATAATACCGCTAATAAAACCAAGACAGCACCGGATCGCGGCGTCGCGCCAGTGGGAACCGAGCTTTACGCGAAACCGGCTATCGTTTCGCGACTTTCTCGGTGTATTTATGGGTTTCCGTGAACGCGGGGGATCCCCGAGGCGCGAACGCGTGTCCGCCGGCTACAGCTTGGTCCTCGATGAATGAAGACGCTCGCGTCGCTCTCGATCGGAGGAGGCGGACAGCCGAGTAAAAGCCAGTCTAGACTGAGAGATAATTCTGCGGTTACGTGGCAGAACGAGTTACATTTCTCGAACGTTTCGATACAACCCTCCAGCTGTGGGTAATTCTTCGATTTTCCTCTCCAGAAGTGCAGACGGAATTCATAGACTGCAGTGATTTATTTTCTCCTCGTAAGGAAACTTATAATGGAATGCGAAAGATCGTAGCATAACTAAATGTAAATATCTACTACTCTATTATCAATAATTTGCAAGTGCGAAGAACCGTTTCATGTATCGTGAGTGCACCTGAAGTTGGAATATTCAAAACAGCGGAATAAGAGCATTGAGTTGAAACACTGAAAGTCAAAGTATACACGATAACACGATGTTCCCCGCGTTAATTGAATTCGCGTCTAGTTGCGCTTTCGTGGATGCTCATGTTCGGAAAACGCGCAGCTAAAAGGTTAAGCTAGCGAAACAGCGAATTGAACCGCGTCGATGAACTCGTGCGCGCGCGTGGTCGAGCTGTTCGGCTCGGTCACGGTCCATGGGATGCTCCGGGCAGAGAGGTCACGACGGTTCACTCGTCGCGAACGACCGGCCGCACGCGTGGTCGTCACCGGCCGTCGCCGTCGTCGTCGCCGGTAATGGCCGAGCAGGGAGCGGAGGCGGCAGGTTAGGTCGGCTCGCATTAATCTAGGAGCGTGGAGGCGGCAACAGGTGCTCGGGTCACGGTTCGATGCCCCAGGCTCGAGAACATCTTCCTTTCCCCTTTCGCGTTTCTCTCTTCCTCGCTCTCTCTCCCTCTCTATCTTTACAGCTTTTTCCTTCCGCTTCCCTGCGTTCGGGACGGTCATTACATTTGCGTTAGGCTCTTCTTACTTTGAACCGCTTAGAACATCGCGCGAGACTCGTGGCGACGATTTCGAGTACGGTTGGGTAGGTACGAGGTTATTCGACTACTTTGATATCGAATTCAGGCTGTAATTCACGGATCGGAAGTGTTTCAAGTTTACTTACCGCCTTGAAATACGGCGACATAGGTAACAAACGCAAACAGATTCACAGAAGTGACCTGGCTCGGTACTTAACGCGTTAATCGTAAATATTACAACGATAACAGTAATAAAAATAATAAAATGATTGTTGCAATATACACGGCATTGGGCTTGGTTAGTAAAAGCGCCATGCCGCTTATGTTCTCTACAAGACTGGCGCTCGTTTTTAGATTTAGGTTCCTAACTACAACAGCTGCTGGGGACTGCGACCCTCGGAGGGCCAAAAAGGCTCGCTCGTGAATAGAATTAGGATAAGTGTGTTTGCTTTCAAGGAATGCGAAGACTCGAGGAGTGTCGCTTCAGGTTTTGCCGCAGTGGAAAGGGAAAACAATAGGCACTCGAAGGTGTCGTAAATTAGGCCTTTGTAGGGGCCATTTAGGGGACCGGCGCAGGTGACCGCTTATGGAGACTTCAAAGTAACACTCGAATAGCCTAAGGTGGCGCTTTAGAATACGTTGGTTCTATTTCGAGTGTTGCGCTGGTCTTACTGGGAACTGGTAATGGGAAATGACTTCACTCACGCTAATCTTTGGTACAAAGGAACTGCTGATTAATCTCGGAAGAAGATTAGATTGCACGCTAAAAGGAATGTACACGTTATAAAATCACTGCTAATAAGTATTATTCTCTTTCAACCTATTCGCCGATTTGCAGTAGCGATTTCCCAATTCCTCTGCACCAAGATATTCTAATCAGGACGTACGGTTAATATAATTCCCGTTCGTGATTGCTACAAGCTTCCGTTTTCTCGTATGTTTCTCTCTATAGCGTTTCATCCAAGAGGATTACGAAGATCCTGCAGCGGAAGTTGTCCGCGGACAAACGCCCACGCGTCCCTGCATTGCGAACCGGGCTTAAGAGTATCGGTTACTGGAGCACCCGCGATACCGGACCCGATAGCTCGCTATAATTAGGGGCAATTATGCTCGCGTGCCCGAGATACGATACCCGAGCCTCTTCTTCCATCGGCGCGCTTTGTTACGAGACCGTTTCGTCTCGATCGAGCGACGAACACTTTTAATGACCCGACATGCGAAAATGGTGCGGAACCGAGCACGCGCGCGCGCGCGCGCGCGAATCTCTTTTGTGGACGCGAATCAGAGCCTGTAAGCTTCGTGAATTGGATGCGCCCCACATCCCACCGGTAACTCCTTTTTTTTCATTTTTTGCATGAAGACGTCTCTATCACGACGGATCGCGACGTTTCAATATTATCCCAATAATTAAATATTTTACCCATTTCTACAGTAATTAGTAATGTTCTTAAGCAAATCATTAAAGCGCCATGTCAAACTATAATAACCCTTTGAAAACGAATGTCATCGCATTGCTGACATCAAAGTTCAATATCTATGGTACAAAGTTGCGAATGACAAATCAAATCGATGAAATGACCAAGTTACGAATTCAATTATCGAAACGATCGAACTTCTGTTCTACTATTGAAGTGTTCGATACGTAATTTAGCGTCTTCCGCTCAAGGTTTCGAATACTCGGAACAGTCCTCGTTCGTAGGGGGTTAAAGTTCGCGGACGGCGATCCGCTCCGTTGACGATCGAAAAGAAGCGCGCTCGGGTTCGAGATCGGACACGCGCACGCGCACACGAAAAAATTCTCACGGTAAGACGAGATCGTCGAGAGCAATCCGATATTCACCGAACGGTTTCGAGTGTCTATTCCTGGTCAGCACCCCTCGGCGAAGGTCGCGATCAAACCGCGAAAGATCTTCGATCGTTGCAGTAATTTGCAACATCATATTGTCATTATTGTTGTCATTCAATTTCCTTCGATAATAGAATTCCATCGAATTCGATGGAATCAAAATGGAAACTGAACGTTTACGACACTAATGATTTCATACAGATTGCAATCGTAGGTGCCATACGTCCCCATCAGACAGGGATCTCCGAGTAAACAGATAAGGAAAACAAGAGTACCGCAGGGGGACACATTTGCACGAGTTAACTAATGTCCATCGGTTAATGGGTTAACGATCGTAGCAATTGTTCTATTATTCCAGACTTAATCAATTACGACGTCGGGTCAAGAACGTTGCGCAGTAAATCTGTTTCTAGTACTCGACTACGCGAGGCTAATCTTATCTTCGCTGATCCGTTTGCAGGAATTTTGTATACTCATAAACGCTTCGCGTCGAGGTATTTATTTGAAATACAACTAGCGAACGCCATCAAGGATCGCGAATACGATAAATATCAATGAGGGAAAGGAGTAAAAAGAAATTCCCCGTGGCCGAGTCTCGAGTTACGATCGCGAACGACGCTGCGTCCAAGATGGCGTACGGAGATACATATTTTCGTGCGAGTTAATTTACGACCGCCAAAAATATAATCATCCCAACTTATTCTACGGATCTATCCGAACGGTAGCAGCAATGTTAGTTTCCTCGATATGAATTTTTCTCTGATATACCGTGTACTTGCAAAGAATTTTCCTCAAGGCCGTTCTCGATGACACAGTCTAACTTTCGCATCTAATAGTAGACTGCAGCGTGAGGCGACACGCGTGGCGTTCCCCTGTGAAGAATGACCAAAGTGCTCTCCCAATTTCTCACGGAACCCCAGGCGAATCGATAGGATCGATTGGAGGGATTAAGGGCGAGGGGTTGCGGGAAGCACCGAACACACCAAGGGGGGTCGAAAAATTTCCTCAATTACGCGCGCCTTTATCGATCGGGCCGCGTCGCGAGACCGCCGGACCGCTCTCGACTAATGACTTCCGAGATGCGGAACGGGGGTAAAGGATTGATCGTCGCCGCCGCTATTACCATTAATTTACAACTCATTATCCGTTCGCATTCTGGTCGATTACGTACACACTGTCAATTACCACGGGACGCGGGTTCACGAGTGGCGTACGCGAGGCGAGCACGAGGAAACACGTCGCTCAACGTCGTCCCGTGATTTAGTATAATGGTGCGTGCATAGATGGCGAGCCCGCGATTCAAATAAAGCGTCCTTCGACCGCGGATCAAAGACGAGAAACCAGTCGCCTGATTTTGTTAGTCGCCTTCGTATGAATTAAAGAATCGTTATCGCGACGCGCGATCACGTTTCCATGACCGGTCTGGGTTGACCGAAATCATTAGCATGTAAAGCCATCGACGACGATGGATGACGAGTGAGGGCAGTCGGTCAACGGAACTGTTCCTCCGTATGTTTTGCTTAATTAGCATTAACCCCTTGCCGTACTTTAACGAGTTCGACTCGCGAGAGAAATTTTCGAGCAAACATATAAATATCACGAGTCCGAGTCGAGGTGACAACACGAGCGAGATATCGGCCGCCATAATTATGGCGCGGATTTTGCGCGGTTAAATGGCATGGCAAGGGGTTAAGATCGTTCGTTGCTAGAACGAGCGTTCCGCAGTAAACCGCGAGTGGAAAACGAAAGGCGGAAGACCGCGACGCGACACGAGCGTAAGGCAGAGTAGAGCAGCGAATTCGAGTACATACGTAACCGGCTTACGAAAACGGAAACACAGAGCCGACGAGTGACAGCTACTTACCGGCGATCCGTAATACTGCTCTGTCGGCGGGATCTAGCTGCAGGATACTCAGTGGCTTGTCCTTTACCCATTCCTTCAGGCTTCCGTCCAGCTCGAACTCCATTATCTGAAACGTGGTTGGCTGCGGACACTCCCGTTTCCTTCTTCCGTTTCCTTACACCATATTCAAGCAACTGCTCTCCTCGCACTGTATCACCAACCACTAAATGCGATTTCACAACCCGCGGCACAGAGAGCCCAGGGGCGACGCGTCGTCGTGTCTCGTCCCGTCTCGTCCCGTCTCGTCTCGTCTCGTCTCGTCTCGGGTCGTCTTCGTTCGACAAGGTTCGCGGGTAGCGTTGCACCGAGTACGAAGCTCGGTCGAAGTTATCGACAGCGGGCAGCTGGCGACTTTGCACGTGCTATCGTACGCGACATCCTCTGCAGCCTTGTTCGTTCGGTAAAAGACCGGAACCGACACACGACCCGCGTTCACCTTCCCTACCCGCGACGGTTTCGTTCTACCCTTGTTCGTGGCAATGATTCAACGGGACAGGGAACACGTGGAAATCGAATCCGGCATGCCGCGCGTTTATTTACCGTTTCCGAGACACCGGGACTGTGTTGTGTAGGGTACGTGTGCGCGGTAGCTTCTAGCGCGTACAAGTGCACGAACCGCGCGCCGGAACGAACGGAAGGAAGAGATGGTGGGAAGGAGGCGACGACGAACAGGGAAAGCTAGCGTACGATGTTCTCGGCCCGTCTGCTTTTCGCGATGGATTGCGATGATTTGAACGTCGGGTAGCGGGCGGAACAGGCGGCCGGGCGCCTGGTAGCAACGACTAACGTGCTTCCTGCACGCCGATAATCGAGCGGTGCTTCGTATCTTGCTCGTGAGCGGCGCTTAGGTCAGGTTAGACGCACGGCTGAAAACTTGGTTAGGTCAGGCCCGACCTCAGCCCGCCGCGGCGGCCTCGAATTCCCGTCGTTGTTGTGCGTTTCCAAGACCTTTGCCACGATCCACGGATTCCTCGGTGTTTTTCACTTGTCGAAATACCGCGACCGTGCTCTACTACCGCCCTCTCTTCTGTCGTCTATGCCGGCGTTCCCTTCCGGAAACATTCTGCGAACATAATGGGAACGGTTATTTTTCTTTCTATCGCGTTCATCTTTTTACGACTTGAAGTGCGCCACTTTTATTTTTCATCGATGTACCTGTTCTAGGCGCGCATGATTCGTGACTATTTGTACGGAGCATAGGTTAGGTGTAAATACTGATTACGATCGTTGGGTCGCGATTAGTAAATTGACGAAGGATCCTGTCGGCATGTTTTCGCGAAGGCTTTGATCGATTGCATTTTAATGGAAGTGATTGTACTCGAACGAATCGTCGACAGCCTAAGAGAGCGGAATATAAGGAATAATTACCTGTATCGTGTCACCCGTGGCGATGTTTACGCGCATTAATTATAAAGAGATTTGTAACAGCCGCAGGATGTAGGCAATTCCCTGCTAATTTGTGCAGGTGTGTTAACGTCTTTTTTTGAACGCGATGCTAAACCGTTGCGTGTTGGGCGGACGTCGGAAAAAGGGAGCGGACGAACGTTGCGTTAATATTTTAGCAATCCCGATGTGACTCACGGCGAAGGTGGGAGAAAGCGATATTTTTTCTTGATCGGCGCTCGGTCGGATGCTTGCAAGGTAAAGAGATTTCGAAACTATTGATTTCGCGCAAATTGCACACCGCTCAACTGCCGCGGAAACGTGATTCGCGGTTCCGCCATCATTAGATACGTCATATGTCGAAACGACGATAGATCGAGACCGGGTACAAAGGGCCGGAAATGGATGCGGTAATCGCGGTATCTAGCAGAATCGATTCTAGAGCGACGCTGAAAGAATACGCGACACGCGTAAATTCTTGGTTGCGTAGATCATCGTTCCACTTTCGCACGGAACTACTCGCGTGCTGATACGAGTGGTTGAAATGTTATGCGAGCCTTGAAAACCTCGAGAACGGGAATACCTTGTAAGAGTGTTTTCATTGTCGTCGAAAACAAGTCGACGCTACAATGCCCTAACCGGCTGAAAGGAAAAAAGAATTTGTACGCGCCGAAACACACTTTACCGAGGTAAGTGTCGCTCTCGTAGTTTCGTTCATTTGTTTTTACAATACGGCCAGGCAAAAACACGGACGTCCGTTCTATATACGTGGCTGAAAAGGCTTCGGTCCTCGCGTATGTACGCGGCCACGCCGAACAGACTTTTTCTCTCCCCCTTTTTGCCTCTTTACACTTTCGGTCGAATTTAGAGCGTTGTCTGTACGGAAAATAAACGGGGGAAAAATATACTTTGAACGATCCAGCCGCTGAACAACCAAACAACGGGAGACGTGCCGGGCACAGGGGATTCGATTACTCAACGGAACAAAGGATATAACCCGATTCCTCGCCCCCGACGTTCGCCCCACGAACCTAACCTAACAGTTCTGGAAACGTGACCGGAGCACGGCTCATTCAATTTCACCGCAAGGAACATAAATTATTCGAGTTTGCGCCGTCGCGGGGCTCTGCGCGATGCTCTCTGAAATAGGGTTAGCTTGGGAACCCTACGTTAGGAATACCTGGGGCAAACCGAGATAATGCCCGATTTCTAAGGACCAGCGACATCTGCGTAAAAGGTACGCGCAAACGATGAAATCGAGATAACCGTTTGACCGAAAGTAATGAATAAGTAGTACCGATACGTCCGCACGTAGCCACGGTACTTGACCCAAACAACGAACACGATGCAGCGCGATTAATGGGATTCCCTAGACATTATTCGATAAACGAGCATCGCTCGGTACGCCTAGTCATCGAAATTCGGAGAAAACCGGAGGATAAAGCGACTGGGAACGACGTGCATTACCGTTCGATCATCTGTCGTCTCCGATGCGAAACCAGGAAAAATCAATGTTCACCGGTATTCCTGTTGAATTTCTTTCGTCAGCAACCTTGCAACCCGATCCGAAGAATATCTTTCTGCGATTTCCGATGCACCTTCCAACAGAAAACACTACGTGTTCGCGCGCAGAGACATCGCATTATCACTTATCATAGCGATTTTCGCGTTAGAAATACGACCCGGTTCGGTCTGACGACGCGCCTAGCAGACGACATTTTGCTTTCGACGAGCGTGTCCGAAGTGCGTCGAGGGTCCCCGAACTTTAGCGACACGACTGAATCCTGGCAGCTGGCACTATTCGCAACGCCACTCCGTGGCCATCTGCGGCTATACTGCTATCAAAACGCGTTGCTCTCGATCGCGCTAGACTAGTTCCCAGTCACGATTAAATTCGCGTATTTATATCGTCACCGCTTGCCGATCTGTTTTTTTTCTTTTCTAGCAGTATACGTAAACAAGATTAGACAAGGGAAACATTTAAAATTAACCAGAATTTGACCAGAAATATGGATCTCTTTTAATCGGTTAATCGAGTGACTTCTTGATTTCTAGCGGACCCGTGGCCCCGATAAACGGTAACTACAGGACATTTAACGCGACTTATCAAACAATACACGCGTCTTCGAGATACTACAAACCAAAATAGATATCACTTAATAAGGAATGTTTACTCCGTCCTAATCTTTCGTAAAAAGGAGCAAGACGGTAAACGTTTTTTTCGAGTTAATTTCTGAAGAAAGAAACACCGAGCAACGTAAATATTTTGTATAGTTGTACGAACTAGAATGACGAAGCAACGGAAAGGGAAAGGAGGGGAAGAGAACAGGGGGTCCGCCGTTTTTACAGCCGCCTCTTGTTCACTGAATCGTATTGACACATATTTACTGCGATCCTGATATATTATCATCGTTACTTAGAACCATTATTGATCTCTATAAAAGGCTTAAGGCTAAAACACGTCTTTTGCATATGAATGTATGGAACGCGTCTGACATCATACCTATAATGGATGACATCAATTTTTCGCCGAGAGGTGGTTACTGAATCCACCGTTGCCATCCGCGGTTCATACAGTGGCGAACGGTAGCCTTCGCAGCCACTTGCTTCCTTTGATGTCACCGCTATATAAAGCGACTGACACGGTCGGTAAATACGAGGTGCCACGGTGTTTCGAGCAGCACCTATTCCTTAATCATGATTCGCCGTGAATCGGTTACAAAGTCCGACCTATTGCGAACGATCGTATCTCGCGTTTTACAATATGCCGACCGTTTACAGGCTCGATTTAAGGATTATGAGATTCTTTGGACGGCGCGGCTGTAGGTTTCTCGTCGCTCGTCGCCCGGGGCAACTGTCGGGTCGACTTATTTCGGCTAACGGCCGTTTCTTGCAGACTCGCAATCGTCTCGTCTTTCTGCTTAATTGCCTCTCTCAGCTGTCGTACTTTGCGGCGATATTCACGTTTCATTTTGCGCACTCGTACTTCTTGTAACTGTATACGCTTCTGTACAGTCTCGACTTGTTGCCTCGCGCCTCTCCTTACACTCTGAAATCAACAGTAATTGTTAGCCCTCGTTGATCGGTTGATTTGTTAACACAGCGACAGGCGGGAATATTTTCTACGTACCTCTAATTGATCTTTTAAACCTGCTACCCGGCTGCTAATGCTTTTCCCTAGACGATCGATGCTCGCGTTCTCTTTTTCCGTTTCGCGTAGGAGGGCCAGCAACTTCTCCCTCTCCGAAACAATTCTTTCGTACTCTGTGAATAATTCCCCGCAATAGGCGGTCGCCTTGCTCAATTGCTCCCTCACAGAATCACGTGAAACACGAGTCGAATATGAGACACTCCGCAGGTACTCGTTTTTACGTAGCGTGCGCCTGAAATAAATCTGCTTACACATAACCACGTGGATCGTATGCGAAGAATAATACGTATTTAGGAATGACGGATATCTTACTTCAAATTAGCTTCTAGATTTGTGACAAGACTCTTCAAATGATTCCTTTCCGCTGTGGTCATCACCAACTGCTTCTCGTTCTCCGGTTGATTCTCCTCTATGCGTTTTATTTGGTTAGACAGAGTACGCTTCTCGTTCTCGTATCGATACTTTAATTCGTCTAGCAACGTTTTGCATTCGTCGATTGCGGCTGTGTGAGCGCTCATAGGCACTGTCTGCTTCTCTTCGTGTTTCACCTTCTCAAATTCTTCGTTCAAAACTTCGTACTTTCCCTTGAGATTGCTCAATTGCGACATACTAGCGGCGTGTTCTGTTTTAAGGATCTCGTTCTGTTCTAAAAGGACTTTTATCTTTGATTCGTACGACGAACGAAGTTCGTTCGCATCTTGTTTTGTATCCCTAGTTTCTTTTTGCAGAAAATCATTTTGTTTCCTCAGCATGGCAGTATTCTCGATCGTCGTCCTAAGTTCTTTTGCATACCTATCACATTCTGACCTTAATTCCTTTACTTCCTGGTGCATAAGTTCATTCTCAGTAAGTATCTCTTTACACCTGTTACCAAAGTTGGCCATGTTTTGTTCATACATGTTTATGAGCTCTCGTTTTTCTGACAAATTCTCCTGATAAGCATTCAACAATGGCCCCAATGCATGAAAATTAATGCCACTCCAAACCCTTTCATTGCACCTCTCTCCTTTATTTTCTGTACCAATAGTTTTATGCTTGCCATTGGCCAATTTATCTTGGTACCTTTCCAATTCAGTATTTAACTGATAAACAATGCTTTTCAGTAAATGTATATCTTCCTTTGATTGAGATTTCTCAGCTTCAAGTTTCTGGTTACGATTAATCAATTCCACTCTGTCATTTTCCAACTCTTGTACCATTTCTTCATAATGCAAACATGCTTTCTGAAACTCTGCTTCTCTTTGCTCCATTAGTCTATTTAACATTTCATATTCATCCTTCACATGCTTGTAACGTTTCTCCAACTTATGGTAATCATTAGCTATCTTTAACGTACCTTTCGAAACATGTTTGTCTTTCATTCTTGTTGAAATAATACTCGAATCTGCATCAGCTTCGTCAACTGGATGTTTCTCTACATCTTTTTCTTCATTTATCCTTCTACATCTTCCACTTTTTTTACTTCTACTTCTTAAAGGTGTATCTCCTTCATGATCATTACCATTATCCGTAACATGATCTGTTGGTTCCTTATGGCCATTATGCGTTGTCAAACTATGCCTGGCTCTTGAAGTTCGTCTGCGACAATAAACTGGCTTGTAAGCAATTTCCGAACAACTTCTAGAAACTGACATTCTCTCTCGAAAGTGCTGCCACTAAAACGCAAAGTGCAAGATAGGTTAAGGAACTGAATTACCTCACAAAACTTGGCAATCACTTTCCAAGTAAACTATTAAAGTCATTCTGGTCATTCGTAGATCTTACCTTTCTCTATCCTCATTTGTAGCTCCTGCCAATTAATTATTAACGTTTGTTTATAACTCAAACACGATGCGAAGATTCGGGGCACCATTCGGTCAAGATAATTCCAAGCATCGAAAACTGAAACTGCGTTGATAATTTACTGGCAAAAGAGCCATGATAAACGTGAGTACTTGCCCATATAATATATACGCGTGCATTTGTGCTACACGCGTATATATTTTTATTAATTCCAGAGTTTGTATTTCACCCATTGCTATGACAACTAACTGTCTGTCGTGCCCAAAATCTGCAGTAGATGGTGCTAGCTACCATTCGTCCGCCATTACTGCCTTCTAGGAGGGGTAAACGAGATATTTAATTCTAAATTGTTTACAAATTATTATATTAGGCATTTAAATTTCATCAAGAACAATCTAATAAATTATGAAAATACAGTACAAAAGAATAAATAAATTATAAAACTAATTTCTTCTAAATTTCTTATAAATATTCTTGCACAGTAAACGGTAAAAAATTCCTTTCACTTGTTTTGTATGCCTATCTATCTAAAAAGCTCCAGATTAGGAAAGATTAAGTTCTTAAAAATTCGCGCTCATTCTGCCTGTTTACCTTTTTTTACGTTAAATTCCCAGAATTATTGATGCGCAGGTATACACTAATCTCTATGTACATATGATTAAAACTCTTTTCAAACATGAAAACTATATTTGAAAGTGTAACGAGTTCGAAAATTTAAGATGGATATCTATGTTTACAATATAACAGAAAGAATACACAAAGAGCCCCCACAGGAGTAGAAGGCTCTGCTCTTCAGCAAAGTGTTAGAACAACAAAGATTTGGTGTCTAAAAGAATGCATATTTTGTTGATCCAAGGATATTAAGAGACACGTGGATCAGATAGTTACTTCTGTAATTTTACAGAGCCATTGTTTTAGAAGGAAAAGTTAATTACTTTAGTATCAGTGTTTACCCAGCTCAAGTAGCAAATGTCAGTCCCGCAGCAATTGAAAATGACCTCGGCAAAAGTATTGCAATTGCTGTCAAAAAAATAAAAGACAGCGATTTGCATTATGTTTAAAAAGTTCTTTGCCTTCGAGGACTTTAAAATATTCAAAACTTTCGGCGGAGAAACTTTTAAATCCTAAGAAAAAAAAAGTTTGCTTGTTCGAGTAGCAAATTTATTTGTTCGTACCTTTGTACTGTACTTGAGAAAACTCGGTGCAGCCATTGCGAAGACATTCGTCCTCGAAGGGTTAAATATTCCTTCGCGACGCTCGAATCTATCGCTTGAAAATGGTAAAGCCCTCATTGCTGCTACTTTGTAAACATAAGGAACGGTAAATGGACCGTTTAAACCATAGCCGATAAGAACAGTACTCTTTTTATGTCGCTCACGGTCGAAGAACGAGGAGGAATAAAGACTATTATCGGGTTATTGGCATTGACCGTAGTTGCCGACGCACGTAGTGTATAATTCCCGATTAAAATGGCGGCGCACCGGCACCTCATTGAACGATCTGATCCCGCCATTCATATGGCCGCCGATCGGCAAAATCGATGCGATCAACGTTCCGCATACCACTTCAATATGAACCGGTGAATTCCGGTCAAATCGCGCTACCGTTGCGACAGCCTTGTTACATCAGTGTTGTTGTAAGTTTGCCTTCGTTCTCGAGGTTGCAATTGCCTTCTGATAAGAGAGCGATGATAGCTAACGCAAATTATTAGATAGTCTTCGCGGCGCGAATAAAAACCCCGGAATTCGGCGGAAACCCAGTAGACGGTTGCGCGCATTTCTCGAATGTCGTTCGATTTTTCTGCATCGGCGAGAGCACGGGCGCATTTATTCGAAACTAATAAACTTGACATTAACGGTCACCATGAAAGGTATCAGTTGCGCGTCTAATGTTCGTTAACGGCACGTCACTCACCTGTTATCGAACGCTCCTAATCTTCGAGATCTTGATAGATAATCTTGAACGCCGTGTTATCACGCGGATATAGTTGCTTACCTGATGAAGGTCACGAATTTGAATTCAGGGAATTATTACCGCAATTATCAATCCCTTGAACGCGATTACCGTGGTATTAAAAGATGCGAGCAGATGATTCAGTCATTTAATTAACAGAAGTGTACAATTTTTGTCTTTTTTTGGTACTCGAGATATTGGCGCGTGATTTCAGTGCATTTCTATGGAAAAAGATTTTCACAATTTCAAAAATGCCCCTCTATGAAGGGTCCAAGACATCGGAATGCTTTTCTATGAAACTTTTCTTTGCCTTTTGCAGGACTGTTTCTGGCACTTTGCTGGCTGACGTTGCTCCTAGGACTCAGTCACGCGGCGGATCCGGGATGCACCTACTACCAACAATTAGCCCCATCCAATGTTTATTACATCTACAACCCTAACTACCCTTATTCGTATAGTCGCGGACAGTCGTGTCTATGGACGATGAAGAGTGATTACAAAATCAACGTGACCTGCGAGGTTGTGCTGCCGCAGGTAAGAAGCTTCGGTTCTCTGACTTTGGCATCTCCAGAAACCGGGGACATATTCGATCAATTATTTTGATCTGCAGAGCTTTGATTGCCTAGCGGATCGTCTACTGGTTCAGACCGGTGATGGCCAGAAACATAAATACTGCGGCAATGGAAAGTTCAGTCTGCTGTCTGATGGACCTGATTTGAGTGTGGAGTTAATAGCACCTTTTTACACTACGGGTGGAAGATTCCTGTGCGAAGCGAGAGCGGTCAAGAGGCCTTATGACTCAGAGAACTGTGAATGTGGACGAAGAAATCCTGTACGCTTCTGCTAAGATCACAATTAATCCTCTGTGGTTCAGTCACTTAGATTTGAAACCGTTTGTTCGGACAATTTGTTGGGGCTAAGACTACCAGAGGGCTCGACAGATTCAAACGTGCCTCTGAGGAACCAGTGAACAAAGTAATCTCGTAGCGCGTATTTGAAAATATGTAGCAATTAATTTGACTCGTCATTAGTTCTAGTATCAAGGAACTAGGTGTCGAACTAGGTAGACATCTGTTTGTTGAACAAATTGTACTACAGAGGATTCAAAGGCAGTGTTAAGTCTTAGAGCGTTGCCTAGGACGCTAGAGTCCTATCATTTAAATTAACAAATATCGGTTAACATCCATGGCATATCCTCTAAGACTCAACATTGCCTTTTCTATCACCTCGTCTATACTCGGACATGTACCTCTTACCGATTACCTTCAGAGCAGAATCGTCGGTGGCACGGATGCAGGTGTGAACGAGTTCCCTATGATGTGCGCTCTAGTGAATGTGCAAACCTACGAGCCTTTCTGTGGTTGCAGTATAATACATAACAAATACGTGTTGACTGCCAGCCATTGCATCGGGAAGAAGAATACCTCGGACATCCTCATTTTGGTCGGTGAACATGATTACAAGAACGGTAACTGAACGCTTGGATGATTGATATACGGTGAAACCTCGATAATTCAAACCTTTGCAACTCGAAAACACTGACGGCTCGTAAAGTTACTTATCACGCCGAATACCGGACGTTTCATGGAATCGTTCAGCGAAAATTCATTCCATTTTGGTACGCTGAAAACAAATCTAAAACTAAAAATATTTTATTCCACGAGTCGCGAATTAAGGAACCTTAATAAACGACTCTTTTGTCTTCCGTTGCGATTAGATTTACCGAGGTTCAACTGTACCCCCCCTTTCATGGTAGTCTTCGTTATACTCGAACGAAATAATTCTTTTTCGCAGGTACCGAGACGCCATTCGCTGCAATTTACGGAATTGGAAAGATAATCATTCATCCAGACTACAACGCTAAGACTCGCATGAACGACATAACCGTCCTGCGTTTAATTTCCGACATCAAGTACAACCAGGCAGTCGGCCCAGTTTGTCTGCCGTTCCAACATTCGCCGGACACCTTCGGAGGCGATTTGGTTGAATTATTGGGTCAGTAACAATCCTATAGAATAGAATCAAATATAAATGCACGGTGTGAATGGTCGATTGTCTGCACGTGTGCTCCGCGTCGTCTTGCGACTGGATGGCATTGGTATGTTTTAGGAAAGTGTGACTGCAACGAAGACAACGTGAGAATGATGCGATTAGTGACACGACTAGTGAAGCGTGTACGCGACTGCGTGAGTTTTAGCTAAGGATGCAGGATGTTAATAAATTGTTTCTTTTTTTATATTTTGTTAAACACGGGAGTTCTTGTAATCCCCACACAGCCGCACTACTACATAAATAAAAGGAGAATTTCTGAAAACAGGTTGGGGTGCCGTGGAGTACGCCGGCGAGCCGTCGACCACCCTTCAAAAGGTCACTTTGAGCGTGCAGACGAACCTCCAGTGTCAGAAGAATTATCCAGGTGTATCCGTCAATCAATTGTGCACTTACGCCCCGGACAAAGATTCCTGCGCGGTGAGACACACAATTATTTTCTCATTTCTTTAGTACCGTTTCGAGACTTTTATCAAAAATTACTAGTCTACGTGTTTCTATGTTCTTCATCGTATTCCAACTGAATAGATAAATCGAGGAGCATAGCAGGGTTAGGGATTCAAGTTAGCTCGTAGCCAATACGATAATTAGCCTGAAAGTTCCGAGGTCGTCGTTTCTATCGGTAGCAACGATTTTATGTGCAGATGGATAGCGGTGGACCCGTTCTATGGCAGAATCCGACAACCGAGAACCTCGTGCTAACGGGAATCATTAGTTACGGGATTGGTTGCGCGGTGGTGGGCAGCGTGAATACCAGAGTCGGCGCTTACATAGACTGGATTACCTCTGTCACCCCAGGTAAATACGAAATACTCGCGGACCGGTCCATAGATTCCGCTGAAAAAAAGAAAGGTGAATGCTAACAAACACGAAATCGTTGTTCCAGATGCCACTTACTGCGTCGTCGAATGAGAACGCTACATGATCGGCTCGGCTCGAGTGGATCCGAGCCGCTATCGAAATCGCGGCAGGTCGTGCCAGTAATTCCGCTGACGGTGCAGTTCGTGTTTTCACAAGCGCATTCTCCAGTCCAGCCTGGCCAGCCTGACCGCCTATATATTTGCTCAAAAACACGGAATAGTACAAATATTACTTAGCTTATACGTTATCATTGTTAAACCGTATTCTTTGCTCAATATTCAAGTATAATAACTAGCGTAGGGGTTGAACGAATGATCTAGAAATAATCTAACGCTCTAACTATCAAGTGAGTCAAAGTTAACGCTAGATTTACTGACACTTATTTTACACTTTATTCTATCGTTTCCAGAAGACTGCATGTTTGTTTATATAGATCGCAGAAATTAGTGTTTTAAGAACAGAGCATTCTAAAGTGTATTCGTAAATATAATATCCGCCAAATTGGCAGGTTCTATGAATCTGGTGTTAACCGTCCTTGGTTTCTTCTTACTGAATTATTGAAAGAACACAGAAGCTTCTCTTGGGATTTATTAAGTAAACAAATTAATCTCGGCAAGACTGCTCTTGAAGTTTCTAAAGAACGATGAAGGAAAGACGATTTCGCAACTTGATAGTTTCAGCGTGAAATAGAGCTAAGACTGGGGAGAAGATTAATTTTACTTTCGACGAAAAATACAACGAGAGACTGTGTATATACCGAGTGACTCGAACGTAACTGTCTCGACGACACTTGTCTATCGCGTCTGCTTCGAATTTGACGAAGCCCTTCCTCTGTAACTTCAATCGTATGTACGCGAACGTACCTGGAATACACATGCAACGGCACGTTACGTTGGATCTCGTCTCTGCGAGCAACCCTCTGATTTCGCATCCTCTCACCCTCTCGCCCATCCACGCTAATATTATTTGACATTTACGTAAGAACCCCGCCGGAGCGTCTGCCTTTTGTAACGACCGAATCGATCGTAAAAATGTTACTGTTCGTGCGAAACCTATTCTTAGCGAGCACCGGAGGAATCGGTACAGCTCCATTAGAACCCGGTTTCTACCAATGCCGTACTGTTTATTGCGTTTTCGCTTTGCAAACGAACTGGCCGCGGTGTTCGTGTCGCGTGAGGGTACAGGCTGCTCCAAAATACTCGCGCGGAAGCAAATAAACTTGAAGTTACATAGTGACATGCGCTTCCGTTTCGAGGAAATGATTAAGGTCTATTAGTACTTGCAAAATTAGTTTATTAGATAGGAAGATTACAAACCTGATTCGGCCAACGCTAGAACCAGCAAGTACTATTTGCTCATAATCTCTTATAAAAATGAACAGCGTACATTTTTTGAAATTCCTGTTTCTGTATTCATACAAGTACATTGTACTTTATAATCTCAATAGTTTCGTAAGAAATATTTTTAAATGGGTCACTCTGATTTCGGTAATTGTAGCGTTAATACGTTCTGTTAAAATGACATCAGTTCGAAGGACTCTTTTCTAGCGGATCACCCGGTATAAACCAGAATAAAACCTTCGGTCACGAAAGCCGCATGCATACGAGGGACATTCCGATCGCATGCAGTTCTGTAGTCGTAAGCGGGATTAGCCCGTGGACTTCCCCGTCGAGTCAAATTTTCACACACGACTCGATCCGTTCGTATATACGGCTTACGCAACCAGGAGCTCTGCTCGTGATGCCGATGGAACAAACATTACGCGACTCTCCCTTGTAAATAGCGGGACACGGAACAAGTAGCCCTTTCGGTCAACGAAGGGTCATCGTTCGTGGAACGAGCCGGGATTGACGGTCTCTGGACACCAGCTTTTAGGACCGGCAAACAAGTTACCACTGATAGCTCGACGAATTGTCACGATGGTACACGGTAATTATGATTTTCGACGTGACAAGTTATCTAAGGGGTATCTTATCTAGCTTAAAAGGTTTCTCAGAAAATTAGTTTGCACAGTATGTGTGTAACTGATGGGATCTGAACGCCTCGCAATTCACACTTCGAGGTATCGTTACGATGACTATGATCTGTGCTTGGCTATTTGATTTATAAAGGCTCTAAGAAAATTATTCTATACGATACTTGTATAAACGTGTCCTTACAGTGAACAAAATAATTGCGATTTTTCGCGCGCCAAGTTATCCAGGAGGTAGTTATTCAATTGAACAGGGTTCCGAGGAAAGGACTGTATAAAATATTCGTTCCATTAACGGTACCAAGCGGAGTCGCGCGCGGCCACCTACATCGCGACCCTTTCACGAGCGCTGCGTCTTCTTTGGGGAGCCACGCACGCGAACGTCACCAAACTAATTGCCCAATTGTAAACAATGCCTCGTTATTAATAAGTTCCCGAATGAGGATGTGACGTTAGATGGTTTACGAGAGGGCTCCGCGAGGCAACGCGCTTACCGCATACCGCTGCTTCCGTCTATTCCACCATTTGTTTCGAAATTTTTTCACGGCTGCTCTCTCGACATTTAGTCTCGAAACGTGAGACAATACTTTGCAGTGTACGTCTCCTATACGATATTCGAATAGAGATATAATTAGTAGATAATTAGTCGATAGGCTGGGGAAAGAGAATACCGTAATAAAAGAATGATAAGCTGTTCGCTACTCGTTATTCAGAAGCACGATTTCCTCGAGATGTTTCGTAATACCTTATAACACTTCTTCGATTGAGTCGCGGTTATTTTCGTGCCTGAATAACGAACGTCCTTAAGTAACGTTTCCGTAGAAATACTATCGATTCAATTTGAACACCAGGCGCAAGTCCACTATCTTTTGCAAAGGTGGAGAAGTGATATGGTAGTTTCTTTAACACGAGGTTCACGCACATAGAATTTCATAAACGTTCTTTGATCAACGTGCAAGCCTATTTCGATACAATTGCACAAATATGTACCTTTAACCCTTCGAAACTTACAAAACCTTCAGCAGATGAAGCTAAATTCTATATCAATCGCCGATCTCTTCTGAAATCCTCGAAAACGTCGAACCTACACAACCGCACCCTGAATTCACGAATAATCCACAACCGTTTAATTGACGGAAGGGTACCGCAACGACGGTTCAGCCTGATCCAATCGCGGATGAGCATAGGCGAAAAAACAAGGGGAAACTTGAGCCGCGAGGCAGCAGCAGCAGTGACAGCCAAGGCTAATTCGTATCGCAATTGCGTACGAACGCGGCGAAATCAGCCGCGCACGGCAACACGTGGCACGGTAGCTTTTGTCCACGGGAGAATATTTATTAAACAGGTTGATTTCTTCGCTGCGATTCGACACGATCCGCCCTTGGCATCGTTATTGACTCGATGATAGTTTCCGTGGAGTGGCTGACGGCGTTCAACGCGTATACGTGCGAAGTGCAGTCGCGGCGGCTCGCGAGAATCTCGTGATCAACGCTTCAATTCTGTAAACCAACCGGCGTCGGTCACCTTTGACCTATGCCAAACTTGCAGATATTGATTTGTTACAAATTGTTATTCAATTATAGATCCAGTATAGCACTAACGATCACACTATCATATTTCTATATTCCATAAAAGGAAAAACGTGTAAATATTCTATGTATTCATGATTCCGTGTTTATTTACGATTAGTATAGAAAATAGTATCGCTAATAACACAGATCATCTGATCTTTTCTTTTCGGTATTGTACTAAATATTTGTTGCCTAAGGTTACGCAGTCTTAGTTCATGGCAATAAGTATCTGAAGATGACTTTGTCGCGAGACATTGGTCTCGAATCCGTTAAAACGATCGACGAACGAACGTACGGAATCGCGTCGCTCAATCGTCGACAATACTACTTGCGGATCGGGGCCTAAGAATGACCGAACTGCGCTCGCGAGCACGCGATAACTGGATGAAACGAAGTACGATCGAATCGAGCCAAGCGGGTCACGGTGCATTCGATGCGAAACACTGTCCCCCTAGGTTCAATGTTGCTGTTCCATGTTTACGGGTCCCTGACCTGTAGAGTTGTAAATACGGGGGAAGAATCCACCGTTGCGGTTGTTGTATCAAGAAAAAGCGGGGGCGGCATTGTGCGATCTTGAAGCACCCTGATCAGAGGGTCTGAGATCGGACGGTCGATTAATTAGTCGAGACAAGCGAACTCTTTAGTCGTACTTGATTCTAGAATTATTTAGTTAGTGGGAGTTCTCTTGTTACAGGTATTGCGTCATACTACCATTCAAGTATCCACTGCCGCACTTTCCTCATTCCCCGATCGTCGGTACTCGAGTACAAGAAGCAGTCAGCTGATAGAGGCACGCTCCTCACGGCTGAGCACAATCGAAACGAGTTGACAAGAGACTTAATCATGCCCCACGACCCCCTTCCACCCTTCTTACTTCCGTTAATATCCTCTAAGATACTGCAAGGACGCCGTCCGCGAGGAATGTCATGATTGCAGCTTGCAATTTTCACGAGATCAGGTGGTAATCGCGTCAGGAACGCGAATGCCGTGGATTGGCCGAGAGCGAGATCAATGTGGACTCACGCGCGCGCGCTTGCTCTCCGCGGGATGCAACGGGTGCAACAACAAACGAGGAAAACAAGGAACAGAACGAACCGAAGAACAAAAAGTAGAAGAGAACGTCATCCTCTCTGAGGGGATATTTATGAACAGGTTACCGCATCATCGAAAAACAGTGTCCCATCCCCCGGTTCCCTTGTTCAATGTTTTCCTCCAGATTCAGGCTTCCTAACGCTATCCGCGAGCGGGCAGTAATACTTAATCGCAAACTCGGCTAGACGCTGATTAAACAACAAAAGAAGTAAGCAGTTTCGAAGATAACATAGAGACATCTGCCGAAGAAAGTAGATCTCCCTAATCGGTTACAGGCGACCCGCTGCGAAACGAGGAGATCTCTAGCTTACTAAAGTGTCAACAAACAGATCGAATGGAAACCCTAAAACAGAAGGGTGTAAGGAACCGGAACGTCGAACCACCTGGAAGATCCCCCACGGGACACCACCGTGTACGCCGTATGCGCGTAACTATGTCGTCGAGTCGTGGACGAAAAGCGTCGGAAACGTTCGTCCATGGCGCGTCGAAGTTCCAGGGTCCGTTCGAGCGGTCGGTGCTGCTGTTACAACGCGAGCAGAACGGATCGCGCGGAGTCGGGTCGGGTCGGGTCGGGTCGGGTCGACTCCGAGTCGCGTCGAGGCTCGCTCGTTCGCGCGCGCGCGCAATAGCCGCGCAACGGTGGTTGGGTTCAGTCGGATATTGACGTTCGCATACACGGGGCGCGTAGCCGGAGCTCTCTTCAAGCCAGCAGGGTCTGCGAGCAAAAGGGATTCGCGCGCCGCACGCTTACTCGTCCGTCCGGAACCGGAACCGCCGCGAATAGGTGTCACGCGTCGGCAGCGAAAGAGAAGAATAAGAAGACGGGGCTGGTTTTCGAGAAGAAACTAGAGGCCGGCGAGAAAATAGCTCGCCAGCTGGAGGAAGGAGGACCGCGGGAGCCGAGAGCTACATGGCTCCGAGAACTCGAGGTCCCGTTCGCCGTCCATGCGCCTCCTGTCCACGTTCGCGAGAGCGCTGCGTCCGGCAACGGACCCCCGAATAACTCCGCAAGCGTTCTTCAGGTTCCGTTTACCTCGACTCGCTTCTCCGTGGAACTAGAAGGTTCAGGATCTAGCTACCTAAGTACCTAGCAGTCTAGCTATTTAGAGGAGAGAGCCCGCAGGCCGCACAGAAACGCGGAAGGCCACGCTGAGATGCGCAAGATCGCGCCGAAACGTTGGAACCTCTGATCGAGACTCGAGGCACTATCAGGCTTATGTTTATCAGGCTCGACAGGATCGGCGGTATCTTCGCAGGACGAAAGAGAAGAAGAACACAGTGGAACGGTGTCGCGGCGAAAGGAAGAGAGAGAGCGGTAGCATTGAGCAGGAGGAATGGTTCCAGGAGGATATTCCTGTAGAGACCGTGAAACGTGAGCTTCCCGTGCAGAGTAGCTAACAGTGATATATCCCCTTTCCTCTCGCGCCCGGACCGCGACCCGCCGCGGGCCTCCTCGATGCATCATCGTTCCCCATCGCGGGACGGACTGATGCTCACGCGTCCGCGAACGGAAGCCCCCTTGCGCCTATCTTCCTACGATCGTTCCTCCCCCGAGTCTCTCTTCCGACACGCTTCGCCGTTCTCGCGCCACCCTCGCGTCGCCTCTCGCCCACCGTCCCCGTTAACCGATACCATTGGTCCGAGGAGACGGAGCCAGCTCGAGAAACTGCGCGGAAATTGAAAAGCGGCGGAAATCTCGGTTGTCGTATCGATCACGCTCGCGTCTAGCGAAGAGCAGAAGGAAGAGAGATTAATCCGCGCGAGGATAACTTCCGTCGACTACCGATCCTTCGAGCCGCGGCGAATCGCTTTGAACCGCTTCCGGACGTTTCGGGACTCCGGGGTTCCGATCTCGATCGGTCCCGATTCTCCTCGAATCGATTTCCCTCGAGCGTACGGCAGTTTAATAAATCCGCGTGCGGGCCCCCCCACTCATTCTCTCTTTCTCTTTCTCTCTTCAGCCCGCGATTTTCACCGTTCCCGCGGTCGATCGGGACGCGGGGAAGAACAATAGGAGCATTTAGCGACGCGAGCGTGGACAGGGTGGACGAGCAGCCAATCTCCCGCTCGCGGAAAACGTGATCGGCTGGCACGCCGCGTGGGAGACGACACTACAAAGGACACGCGCGTTCCCGTAGCAGCGCAACATGCCTTCCGCGTTACGCTAAGCCCTAAGGGACTCAATCTTTTCTACTGATCGCGCCACGGTCTGCCGCACGGGATCCCATCGCCGCTCGATCCACGCGGATCCTTTCCGCAGCACTGCCGTCGCTCGTGTTCTCGCGCATACCGTCGTCCGTCTTCGTTTGTTGTTGTTGTTGCTGTTGTTGTTCACTGTTGTTGCCGAGGACCGCGCGATCCGTTTCCTCGTCGATCCTCGACCCGCTGGAACCGCTGGTCCCGTTGGATCGGTTCTGCTCCGGAAAGCCGTTCATCGGGGCGCGCGAACAGCCTGAAGAGGATAAGGATAGTTGAAGAGGTTCAGACACAGGGGGAAGTTCGTGGG